GGAGAAAATGGAATCTTCCTCTCATTCCAGCACCCTGCAGAAAAGAAATATGCCTGGGGGAGGTGGAGGGCAGCAGAGCAAAGGGGGTACTGGGCTGGTGGATGGGGAAGTGTGCAGAGTAGATGCAAGTATCCATCTGCTCAGTAACAGATAAAGTTTCACTGGACCAGCCATGATATCCTAAAGCCAAAGCTGGGTAACCTCTGTTTGTGTGAAGAAGAGATTCCTGTTGATGTGTGTGAGGAACAACACTTACATTTTGAAACTGACTTTTTAGTAGATGGGATTTTCTGTTTAATTTCTTTGCTCTTCCCCATGCCAAATCAGTGTCACAAGTACTTGGCTTACTATAAGCAAAGAAAAATGCTTTTAGTTTTAAATTCAGAATTAGTATGTGTTCTGTGAATTTGCCTTGTCTAATTTTGGTTACAGCCCTGAGTTGTTTGACCCATTTGATGAAAAAATAAAGACAGGGAAGAGGAAGAGGTAACAGCTTCAAGCTGCACCAGGGGAGGTTTAGATTGGCTATTAGGAACAATTTCTTCCCTGACAGGGTGCTCAGGCATTGGAACAGGCTGCCCAGGGTGGTGGTGGAGTCCCCGTCCCTGAAGTGTTCACAAACCATGTAGATGAGGCCCTCACTGACATGGTTTACTGGTGGCCTTGGCAGTGCTGGGGTAATGGTTGGACTTGATGATCTTACAGGTCTTTTCCAACACAACTGATTCTATGATTCTAAGAGAAAACAGCTTAATGTGGAATGAATATAGGAAACATCCACCATTTCCTCCTCCCCCACTTTTCTGTCCTATTATGGTGTCATTTAACTGGAATTATTTCATTAAGTATTGGGAAAAGCAGTAAAACATTATCTGCACTTTACAACTCTGTATTAAGTGTTCAAATCAAGACTGTAGGGTTTAACTGGCCTCTTACTTGCAAAACTCCATAGTGGTTTACAGGACTACTGTCCCTGCAACTACAGCATAGCAGCTGGCAGCACTGCGGAATGCTCCTGCTCTGTTTCCATAAAACATAACAGGTAAATGCTTGTGGTTCTCAATAGTTATTCCTCTGTATTAATTTAGGATCTGTCTCTGATGGTAGTTAAACTAAGTATTCATAAGGATCTGGATGGGTTCCATTCCCTCAATGAAAGGTAGCTCTTCCCAAATCAATAAAATCAATAAAATTTGTCTGGCTATCTTTTATTGCCAGCTGATCCCATCTTCTCTCTCCTCTTCCTGCTGCTGGCAAAGTTAGTTGGGAGTTTTATTTAAATGAGGGTTTATGCAGTGAATCCATAAGAAGGAATAACTTTTACTGTGGAATCTCGCTGAAACTTTTTCATCCCTTCTGGGTTTTGCCCTGTTTTGTTTCCTGATTTGGCTGAGACCAGAGCTGAAACTTTTAATGATCATACCTTTACAATTACAATCCTAGTTAGGAAACACTAGTGTCTTGATCAAAGGGAAGTCTGTAGTCACCACTTCGTAGAACCATAGCAACAGGGTAATTGAAGAGTTCACTGGATCTTGCCAAATTTCTGCTAATCTATGTGGAGCTTTCCAAGTAAGAAATGCAGGCTTTGCTGTGAAGACCTAGGAGGTGTTGGGTTGTCTGCCACACGCACAAGGGCTCAGGCTGCAAAACCACTGACAGCTTTTGGCACCTTAACATGGTTTTGTAGAAACTCCTGTGTGAGTTGCAGCCGCAAGAAGTGAACAGAACAAGTTGGCGCTGGAACGGGGTATGGTGCTGCTGTTCATTAAACGTGCTGCAGCCACTCAGGCTTAACATAAAACTGAAATAATTTCACTGGTTTGTTCAGTTTAACAAGTTACATAAGCAAGAGCTGAGTTACCTTGGGACAGTCACAGAACTTTGGTGCAGCATCTAAAATTAGAGCAGAATTTAATGAATTGATTTTTGTCTCAGAAGGATAAAGGACAACGAGCTGAATGTCACAATTTACCACTGCTACTTGTGATATCTTTTGCTTTCATGTTGGAAAAATATATTGCATGATAAAATCTGAAATCATTTCTGCCCCATATTGCTTTAATTTGCTCCCATAATGATGGAAGTTATCATCCATAAAGACATTTTTCTTCAAACCTGGGTAGGGGCTATTACTCCTGTAAGACAGGTGTAGCTACTTGCTACCAGCCAGAGGATAGAGAGTCATGACAGAAGCAACCACCTATTTAAAACTGAAGAAGGAAGAGATGCATTGTGTTGCTCATCCTGCTTGACCACCAAGGTTTTCAGGTGTGATGGAACTATTGCATGAGCAGTGGTGAAAGAGTTTTCCATTTAATTCATTGATATCAGAAAAAGTAGAGCGAAAAACTTCAAAAGCCTCCAGGGAGGCAGGAGAGATCTTTTTAAACACATTTTAAAGCAAAATTTTATAGTTATAATACATAAATGTTTCTTTGTTTCCTCCTTCCTCTGTCCATAACATTCAAATAGACAAGAAGTGGTTTCACCCTGTTGAATGTGAAGAGAGCTGTTTCAGCTCAGCTTCCTCAACAAGAATGCACAAAACCTGAATGGCTCATAGCTATTTAGGAGAGAGTATTTTGGAGTTATTTGTCAGTCATCTATTTCCAGGGCACAATTATGTTTATCAAAGACTTCAGTGAAACTTTATTAACGCAGTAGCTCTGTTAATGACCTGTAGAATTTTTTCCCCCGTTGGTTTCAGCTTTTCTTGTGATTGATTTATTATTTACAGAGCCTGGAGTAGTGGTGGGATAAAGGGTGTTATTTAGAAACTAGTTCCAGAAGAAAAGTGTATTTTCTCTTACTAAAACAAACTGCACAGTGCTGTCAGTGGCTGTATTCCAACTGAGGTAGGTTACAAGAAGAAATTAGCCTTGATGTAAAGGTCATTCTCAAATTACGGAATTTGAAACTAAACCCGTCCCATCTTTCTTTCGAGGCTCAATTTTCTGTTCTGCATTCCCACCTGTAGACTAAATTCATTTTCCAGATGTTTAAAGTTTCGCTTATTGAAGATGTTCCGCTTCATTTACAGCAATATACAGGCAGTCTGAATGCTTAAAAGACTTCTCGTGAGAGGTTCCTCTAGTAGGCTGTGCATAGGTTTCAGCTCTGGGGACTCATGGAGGCCTAATTTGTGTTAGAAATAGAGACACGTGAAATAAATACCTTTGAAAGGATGAATGTCCCAGAGCAAGTGTTGAAGCATCTAATCTTGAATCACTTCAGATTTGCCTTGACAGAGCCCTAGAATAAAAATAAAATTAAGGAATTGCTCCTTACACTGATGATGACAGAGCATGAGGTCTACATCCCAGAATCTCAGGGGTTTTGCGTATTAGCTTCTTGCTTAGTTTCTTCTTGCAATGTTCATACCAAAGTGAGACCAATCCATAGGCAGTTGGCAAAAATCTTGGTTTCGGTTGTGGTAGAACTTTGCCCATGTAGTCTTCTGCAAAGAAAGCACAGATGTAAAATCTCCTTGCTTGTGCAACTTCTTTGGAAAGAGGAAGGGTCATTTCTCTCCATCAGAGAGAGAGGATACAGAAAGCAATCAACAATCTTCCCAAGAAATAAAGAATAATCAAATGAAACCAAAGAACAATATTTGATTTGTTCCCCCAGACTCTCTTGGAACTGCTGGACACCCCGTCTTACATGACATTTTATCCAAGAGGCATATAATGCCTATAAATTCAAGGATTTCTTCCTGTAACTAAGGGGGAAACATTATGCTATATGGAAAAAAGTGTGAAAGAATTGCTTGGCAAACTCCTCCTGTCATTCGATTGATATGTTGAAAAAGTGACACCTGTGCTCCTGAACAGGGAGGTTGTAAAGTAAGGAGGAGGAATCCCAGCTACTAGAAATAGAAAACATGGGAGTCAAACCTTTATTGTGCCCCTTGTCTGGGTTCCTCCATTTTGGGGAATGGCTCTGTGATGGGCAGTGCCTAGCTGAGCGTCCCCCCACCCATCCCATACATGCCAACCTCACCCTCCTAGTCTCATGATGAGCATTGTTACGGTTGGCTAAAATAGTTTATCTGACAAAATAAACAAGTTTTGGGTCGGGTTTTGTTTGTTTGGGTTTTGTTTGGATTTTTTTCTTGGAGGGAAGGGGGGGGGGGGGGTGTTATAATTTTTTATTAAGTCAGGAGCCTGAACAGGAATCATTGTTCGTAAAACTTGTTCTGAAGCCCTCTTCTTGGCTTTTTTGTTTATCAGGTAGAACGGGCTGTTACACACATGGCTGTTACCTTGAGGTTTTTCTACATTTACTAATGATGCAGATTTTAAAATCCAAAGAGTAGGCATAATTCAGGCAATGGTAATGCAAGCCTTGACAAAACATTACGTTATCTTATTCCTGAAAAATTTTAATTCATGTCTTCAAACTGTAATAATAGTGAACATAGCATTTGGCAGATTTAGCAAGCTAAGACCTCAATTCCTTGATGAGAAAAAGGTGCCTTGTTCTGAATGAGTTATAATTATCCTTTCTTCAGTTAAAATTCCACTTGTCTCTATGGTTTGATATGAGGAAAAACTGAGGACTTTCAGTGTGGTTTGCGACTTTCACCTTCACTGTTTGGTTATTAAATGGTGAAAACAGTCAAGAAAAGCCTGTAACATATGGATTTAAGCAGCTGCCTCTGGTTCTTCTTCAGACTTCTTTGCAAGATGAAGTATGAGAATGAGCTGAGCTTGGTGTTCAGCCTTGCTTGGAAAAAGCTGGCTAGCTTTTGTGAGAACATATTTAGTCAGTGTATAAGTTCATTGCTAGAGGTTTCTTCAGGTTTGTTTTCTAACTGTGGGTAAGGCCAGTTAGACCACAGTTGGTAGCGCACATGTATAATGCAGCCCTTTTGATGAGCAGGAAGCTGGGAACTACCCAAGCAAAAATGAAATGGAGCTGCTTTACCAGAACTGGGTATGGGCACCAATGCCTACAATGCTGCGTGTAAATTATACACACTGCTCCTCTCACAGGTGGATTTGCTGAGTTCTCCAGCTCTTTTCCTGGTCTCTGTGAAGGAAAATCCACGCTCATCCCTACTTGCATTTCTCAACCCTGCCTACCTGTGTCCAACAATGGCCCAACCAGAATCCTGCCTCATCTCTATCTTGGGTGTCAGCGAGATGTTCTCAACAAGGTGAGTGTTCTTGCTCTCACGTTGTTTACTTAGATGAGTATATAATCTTCGTGTGTCTTTGTCCGTGCTGCTGTGATGCTGCATCATTACAGCTGTGAAAGATTTAAAATAGCTGTATGTAATAGCTGTCTGTGCATAAGCCATGGAAAGCTATGTGAGAACTAAGGATAAACAGACCATGTAATTAATCCACGTGTCATGTAACATGAAACTTGGTCTCCTTTCTTCATCTTGGAGAAGATTGTGTAGTATCTTCTTCCTCAGTTACCTATCAGCCAATCTATCAAATCTGCCATTACAGCAGGTCAGGTACTTCATGTGTATAGCTCTGATGGGTTTGTTTTGGCAGGTCTTGAATGTTAACACAATTATATTAATGGTTACAGCAGGACAAAGGATGATTGTCTCGTTTTTAGTATTTCCTTCAAGTGCTGTAAAAAATAGCGCTTATATATCATGAATTGTATAATGAGGTACTACTGCAAACAAATCTTTGTGCACCTAATAAAATGTTCAGACCTGGACAATCAGTGGGGTCATTTAAAATGAATTTTTATGGTAGCACTGCACTAAGAAACTTTTACTGTTTCTAAATACACGTGCATTTAATAATTTCTATTCCTGAAGTACAGCCCAGGATATTTTGGTATACTTAAAATAGTTGGCAAAGTCATTAAATATAGCACTTGTAGGGTGCTGGAATATGAGATGTCTGAAAGATCTTGTCTCAAGTTGCTACAGGTCTATATTCCTATGTATATCCACAGATGTTTGCCTCCGTGAGGAGACCAACTCATGCTGCTTACAATCTGCATCTTGGGTTCCTTCATAAGGGCATTTTTACTACTTCTGCTGCATGTGTCCTCTTGTCTCCCATATTTTCTGCCAGTCTATTCATTAGGTGAATCTCCAACAGCCTTTATAAGCTGGCATGGATGGGGGAGAGGGAAGAAGTGCTTCATCCTAGCATATTGCCTTAATTATGTGCAGGCTTATGTGTATGGTTTTTATCCGTGTATAACGCTTAAGACAGGAACTATCCTAGTAGTCCTGTAATTGGATCAAATTAATATACTTTGACCATTATCATGTTTTTCACTGTTTTTTTCTGCTTTCACTCCATCCCAAGTCTGGCCATTAATAGGCTATTTTTAGAGTTTTCACAATTGTTTTAAGGGGATTTTTGACACACAAGCAATTATGTAGAAGGTAATCGTGCTTTAATAGAGTGTACAGAAAAATCTTTTATACGGAGGATAGTCAGCAGTCTTTGTATTTACTTTGTCCTATAAGGTCGTCTGACTGCCAGGTTAGCAAGTCAGCAATTCAAACTTGATTCGCTTATGATGGATGTCAAAGCAGCTTATTATTTTTCCAACCACAGAGGTAATTTGTGGTCCCCAGACAAAAGACAGCAGGAACTAATTAATCAAAAAAATAAACCAAAATCCTTTCTTTCAATGGTAGAGTATTAGAAAGATGCTTTTATGCTGTTTGTTTCAATGTGTGAATGGCAAGTGCTACCCAAGGTCACAGTGGGAGTGAAGGGGGAACTTGTTCTCCTCTAGGGCCATGGGTGTCCTACTTCAATTAGGATGTGACTGGAACTCCACTGCTGTGACTCTTAAGTGGTGAATAATCCTAGAGAGATGAAAGAAGCTGTTCCCTTTCCTTGCACTAAATTGGTGCTGATGAATAGGTGTTGGGCACAGGCACAGTATGTGTGCCTCACCAGGAAAGGAATCCAAGTGGTAGCAGCAGTCAGGAGTTCCATTATAGGGCTGGAGGAGGCTAAAACTGCTACTGGTGAGCCCTTAGTGTGTCAGAGTCATCTATGGGAAGAGTTCAGACCTGGTGGTGGCTCTTTTGCCTATTAATCTACAATCTTCATATTATTTCAGCATGTGTCGAGGGATAGAGCTGCAGATACTTTAGAATTAATACAAAACCCCCAGGAGTTGGTCCGGTTTGTACTTCCTCACATATCCTTGGCAGTTATGATCCAGGATTACTTTGTTTCCCATTTTGTATGGAAAACCACAAAAACAACAGCATACAATCCACAGTAAGTTCTTACTGTCTAGCATCATCCTTGACAGTCAGTCCTTTGGAAGTTCTTCCATTGACAACTAAAACACCTCTTAGATTTCCTACCCAATTTAGGACAAACACAGATCTTCTGGTTTCAGATCTGCTTGGGGTTTGTACTTTTTTTCTCTTTGAACAAACACAGGCAGTGCTTTAGTCTGAGCAGTCACTTGTTCGCTGCACTGAAGTAGACCTTAGTGTTGGTAGATTTATCTTGCCTCTTGAGTTTCAGTGACTGCCCTTGGAAAATTCAAAATAGCTTCCATCTTCAATAGTGGTAACTTTATTAACTCAAAGAAGCTGTGGGAACAAGTTATGATTTCTACCTCTTAGAATCCACTCGAGTTTTCCCAGCTGTCAGCACCCTTCAGTTTCCTAGGTTTAATCAGTTTCTTGGTTCAAGTAAAATTTAGCAGTAGCTAGACACGTTAGAAACACAAACAGCAGATCTCTGCTGCTCTCCCTTCAGCACGCCTTGCTCCTGGGGATGCCTGGACCCTATGCAGAGGTGTTGGGGAAAGCAAAGAGGATGATTCTTACTACACCAAGTGCCCAGAAATACCAACACATGTTGAGAAAGCTGGGAAGTGAAGAACGTTCAAAAGAGGAGAGCAAGAAGCAAGAGGCAGGGTTAAGTAGCCAAGTTCTGTTTCTGTTAGGACAGTCCAAGAGGTGATAAGTGGTTTAATGGCTTTGCTCTGGTTTAATGGCCTTGCTGGTTTGTTGGCTATTGGGAACAACTTTCTGGTAAAGTTAGAATATGAGGGGGTTTTATTCACATCCGGATTAAAAAAACCAAACCAACCAAAAAACCTTAAGAACTGTAGTAAGATTCCCAAAACTATTGAGATGTTGTTGAATACGTTGACCTTATTTTTGCCTTCAGATGGTGTGTGAGTTCCCATGATTTCTTCCATTGACCAGACATACGATTTCTCTAAAATTAAAATGTCTCACAAATATCTACAGAAAGAACTCATAATCTGCACCACAGTTAAAGCTGATGACTTAAAGATGTGAACTTTTAGCATGGTTTATCAGGATGAGCTTATCTGTTCAGAATCTTTGTAAGCTTATCTATGAGTGCACACACAGGGAAATGCTTTTGTGTTGCAGGACAGTCTGCATTCATGACCTTATTGCCGTTAATACCTCTGATAAAGCAGACAGTGCTTTATTTATGAAGGATATGCAAACACAAATGCTTGGTTTGTCCCCTTTAGCAAAATCAGTGTTTACTTCAGAAAAGCCTTTGGAGATTTTTGTATTTTTGCTTTACTGATTTCTGTCTACTTGATTAATTCTGAAAATATTCCTAATATTTATTTGCAGTGTCAAAATACTAAAATCCTCATAAAAGGTCTTCATAAACATTCCAACAGAGAAGTTTCTTTCAGGTTCTGGGTCTCAGTGTGATATATGGTGATTATTTCAGTGTGATGTATTGCTGGTATCTCAAGAGGGTGTTTACTGTTACAGATCGTTGTTGCTCTTTGTGAAAGAGGGGCAAGCTAAATTCTAACCTACATGGGATGGGAGTGACAGTGTCCTTGCTGAAAGGGAGTGTAATTGAAAAATTCTACATTGTGGTTATGGGCACGAATGAGCCTCCTACTTACATCTCAGTGTTTTGTACCAGCATTTAAACTTTAAAACTTTCTGCTTTGCTGCTTACATAACTATTTCTTTTCTTCCAGATCTGGATTTTATTTCCTGGAGCAAAATAACATTTTAGGGTGCCATTAATTTTCGGATTAAACTAGTCATAAAATGTAAATAAACTGACAAAAGAGCATTTACCTTCTTTTCACAAAGTTGTTAGTATTAGGATTTCTGGATCTTCCCCTCATCATAATTCACTTCTTCCTCTTGGGTGCCTTACAATGAAGGTACTGTTATGGTTATTATATTGGAGCGTGTTGCACAGGGTATGATTGATCCTTTAGAACAGAAGGAAGCATAACTTCTTTCTTTAGCCTTAGTCTCAAAGACAAGCACTAACACATTTTTGGGTGTTTGTTTGGCTCAGAGATTTCAGACTTGGCATCTGCAGCCTTCTTATTGCCATTTGAATGATCAATTCCACATCAAAAACCTTGCGTAACTGTGGAAGTGTGATGGTTGGCCTGCACAGCCCACCAGCGCTCATACTGTAAAAGAAATAATGAGATTTTCAATTCTTCGTCTGAATTCATGAGCCTCCCCTTAGTGGTACATTCATTACCTCACTCCTTTATACATGGTAATGTTCATGACCTGACCCTGCATGTACTTTTGTACCTGCTGTACCGGTTGTTCCTCACTCACCTTCGAGCAGCAACAGCAGCAGGTGAGCTGGTTTGGGGGAAGTGTTTCACCACAGTCATCTAAAGCAGATATTTATTTTACAGAAGTTAAGGCTGAAGAGCTTGGGATCCTAGAAGGGGAAACCTGTGTAGCCCAGGACAATGAGGCAGAGATGTTGGGGATCAGGGGTCTCCCTCACACACCTAAGATATTGCAGACCTAGTGGTAGCTAGCCCCTTGTGGCTAGAACCCATTCCCAGTACCTTCCCTCTATGGATAATTCCAAATATTCCCCTACTTCCTTACAGTGCTCCTGCTTTTAAACTTGCAGGTCTGTTGTTGCGTGAGAGCTAAGTGTAGTAGAGGAAGGGGCAACAGCATTGGCTATGAAAGGCAGTCAGGGCTGAAGGGAGCTTGGTGATTGCACTGGTGAGATGTGAAAGAAAGGGGGAAACCTGTGATATATTGGAAGTAACTGTCATCATTGAGAAGCTGAGCTTTACTGGGAGTGTGACCTAGGAAACCAGCAGGGTAAGAAGCAATGAGGCTGAGAACTTGCTTTAACACAGCCCTTTTATTTTATTTTATTTTACCACTGCTGACAGTTCTGTTTCTGATGATTTGCTTTGAGAGTGCCCACACCTTCAGGTACTCCTGAATGTGCTGATGTGAGGGGCTGAAAGTTTGGAGGAACTGCTGATTTTGCTCCAGGCAACAAAGTACAGCTCCATAGCAGGAATTCATGTAAACTCTCTGCTTATGACCATTACTGGCTGGACTTCACGCTCTTTCCTCTGCAAATGACTGATATAGATTCCCTTCTCCCCTTCGTTCTCATTGAACATTTAATTCATGCATGCATACACGTGTGTGTGTGTGTGTGGGTACATCACTTCTATGTCATACACCGTAACATACCTGTTGTGTACTCAACATCACATACTATTCAGGCTGCTCTGATTTGAACAAGATGGATTTCTGTCTTTTCAGCTCATTAGCCATATTCCTGTTTCTCCTCACCAAAGTATCTTTATGCTTGCAGAAAAATACATATGGGGAAGAAGAGACCATTTCTTGACTATGTTTTCATACTGGTAGATCTCCATTTGAAATCTTGCTAATGCTGCCATGGATTGACATAACTTTTTTTATCTAATTGCTATAAAAGCAAGAGGATTAAAACTAGATTTATTTATTTTTTTGGCTTTTTTAATGTTTCAGTTTAGTTTTTATAGATATCTGGCCAAAAGCTCCACAGTGTTTGCATTCAGTGTAACTGTCCAAGCATAGTATTGCATGTCAGTTACTGCCCAAATCGTATCTGAACCAGAGAGATAGTTCAATCAGTATTACTCCAACCTGCTTAAATGACTTGCTGTGTCCAGATGCTGACTTGCAGAAGACTTGATGGTTTTGGTAAAGCCATCTCTGGTTTCCTAATACTTGTTTCACTTTGTTTGGCATTAAGGTACCTAATGCATCAGATACCACTTTGCACAACTCTAAATACAATGAGCATGGAAAGGTGCAGAAAACAGTCATCGGTCTTTTATTTGCAGTCATGAAAATTGACTTAAAAAGCCCAGTTGACTCTTACACATTGAGTGCCTGCTTGTTCCTGTGCCAGTCTGTGAGGTGCAAGAGGACTAAAGACTGAAAAGTGAAATCTGAGCAACTAAAGTCATAAACCACAAAGTGGTACTCCTGTAAAACTGCAGTGAATGCTGTGTGGAAATGGTCTAATTCAAGGCCTTCAGTTCTTACCCAGCTTTCTCTCAAGGTTTTGAGTGAGTTGTGCATGTTGCCTTAGAAACGAGGAAGTCATAGACGCTTTCAAGAGGTCACTGCAGGAGGCATCAGTATCATTTCATATTTCTCACCAGTATCTGTGATGGGGCAACATCAGTCTTACTAGATAAGGGATCCAGAAAACACGTATCTATCTGGGTCGGCAAATTACACGTGGGAAGTGTTTGGTGTTCTGTTGTCAGCTTGCACAGTCAGAATTTAAACCAAAGTAGCAAAATAGTCTCTTGAAAGTGACACTTTGTAGCAGCAGAAAGTATTCTACCATTATTTCTGTTAACTTCTTTTTGAAAGGCTTTGCATTCCATATGTTATTTGGACACTGAATGTCCCATTAAAAGTTACTTGAAGAATTAAAAGCTGAGTTGTCTGTCTCACAGAAGAATGTTCCTCATACAGCTAGAGCAATTCCAACACGCATTTCAGTTTGGTTTTTAGCTTTGTAATGTGCCAAAGGTACCATTTGACTTCTCTAGGCTTAATCTTTCTCTCTTTCCTAGGAGCTGATGCAGCAGAATGATATTTGCTACGTACTGAACGCCAGCAATACTTGTCCAAAGCCTGATTTTATTCCAGAATCCCATTTCCTGAGAGTGCCTGTGAATGACAGCTTTTGTGAGAAAATTTTGCCTTGGTTGGATAAATCGGTCGACTTTATAGGTGAGAAGAAAGTTTAAATTCTCTAAAACAGTTTTTGGATTCCTTCATGTCTGCCTTGTTGTTTGGGCTGGAGAAGACCTGAATCCTATCTGGGTGGTATGAAAATACTAAGGATCTCCATACATGATTACCATCACTCTACAAGCACAGAGGCAAAGTAACGTAGGGAGATTCTGCCACTGCATGTTCCAGCAATTATGGATGTGCATGTTCAGCACAAAGAGACTTTTTAAGAGCACAACTCTGCTTTCTGGTAGATGCCTGATACATTTCTGCAGAGAGCAAATTAGAAAATTAGACTTAGAGATCCTGTCTTTACCTTTGAGCAGTGAGCTAGCCAAATCTGAACTGGACAGATTGTTCCATCATGAATGCTTGCTTTTTACTTGCATGTAAAATTAGAAACAATCACCTCTCCCAGACATCTAAATAAGGCTGTTTATGTGCACACTGAAATGTGGTATGCTGTAACTGCAGTATGTTTCCTGTGTGTAGTCACATGCTTTTTCTATACTCAATGCCATACAGTGCTAGAGCAAATAGGTGATTCTTGTTTGAAGCTTCCATGAGATTGCAATTAGCAGTTAATTTGGAAGTTTTGCACAATTTGAAATAACATTGATTTCTTTGCAAACTTTTATCATGGTATAAATGCTGCTGAGTTTTGACACTTGCCAATTTCTTTGCGATATAGAAAAAGCAAAAGCATCAAATGGTCGTGTGTTAGTGCACTGTTTAGCTGGAATCTCTCGCTCTGCCACAATCGCTATTGCATATATCATGAAGAGAATGGATATGTCCTTAGATGAAGCTTACAGGTAAGGAGAAAATTTCCCTTCATACTAATTTTTGTACCTGTTTGCCTGTTCTTTAGGTGAATGATAAAAGGTTACATATATATGTGTATGTACATGATAAAGGTTATATATGTGGAGAGGGGCTTTTTACAAGGGCACGTAGTGAAGGCGCAAGGGGAAATGGTTTTAAACTGACAGAGGGTAGATTTAGATTAGACATTAGGAAGAAGTTCCTCACTGTGAGGGTGGTGAGGCACTGGCACAGGTTGCCCAGAGGAGCTGTGGCTGCTCCCTCCCTGGCAGTGTTCAAGGCCAGGTTGGACGGGGCTTGGAGCAACCTGGCCTAGTGGAAGGTGTCCCTGCCCATGGCAGGGGGTTGCAACTGGATGAGCTTTAAGGTCCCATCCAACCCAAACATTCTGAGTCTGGGATTTTATATGACCAAAGGCAGAAGCAGATGTTGCTTTATCTGGTAGTTCACTGGCATCTGCATGCTGTTGTTTTAAATGTAGGCTTCCTTCATAAAGCAAATGAATAGTGTGCAGACATGATGCAACTAGTATTAACTGCCCATCTGCCAAATGCTAATCTTGGTCCTTGCTCCAAGTAGGCAAATACACCGCTTATTAAATGTGTATAGATACATATGCACATACAGCTATGGCACACGTGTAACAGTATCTTGTAAGTCAGAGAGAGAATGGAATGGATGGGGTTAAAGAAAGAGAACTGAGGATATTTATGCTTATAACAAATGCTAGGCTGGCTATTGACTGCAGTTTGGTAATGCTCTCAAAGAACTGACTGCAGGTGAAATGTCTAGGTATTAAGAAAGCTTCTTTGTTGCTAGCAGGGCCAGCAAAAAACTCTGGGAGAAGGTATTTTGAAGTATCAGCTCTTTTTTTGTGGAGAACCTCTTCCCGCCCTCCTTTTTTAGCCTTTCAAATCCTATTTTTGTCTGTATTTGGATTGTGAACACTTTACAGCATTCCAGGTGGCTTGGATGCAGTTTACCAGGACTTTGGTATTTCATTTAACAAACTGCTTTGTTGTGTTGTACAGAAAATGATGGTTTTCTTTATGATGGGCTGTATAGGCACAGCTGCTGCATCACTGTGTTATGCAGACGCAATTTGAACAACTGTGTTGAGGCAGGTGGAGGGGGTACCTTCGAAATCACCGGTGTTTGTTGCTATTGTCTTTAAAACACTGATGAGGACAGAACATTTAAAACTCCCTTGTGGAGCATGATTTTCATGGGGCATTTTCTTTAAAGCTGATGAATTATGTATGCAGTAAAAAGAGTGTATGTAAAGGATAACTGAATTACCCACTCCCATTGCCTTTAGAAGTTTTCCAGTTTCTTTCTGGAGCCTGCTGACAGTTGGTGTTGTGCAGTCATTTCAACATCTATGGTGAAACAGGTCTGATTAAGAGGCATAGCTGAAAACTGTACACAGGTATAGATAATGTGGATTGAATTAGTGGATGTGGATGGATACTGTGCAAGGTATGAGCTTGAGTCACTGAAGAAGCCTGCCTGGTCTCAGATGCAGTGGTCTGGAGGTTAGAGCTGTAGGATACCGAACACTTGTAAAATGCACAGCTTCAGGGAGCTTCTGACGTGCTGCTTCTAAACTCTTCCGTGAAATCTCTGTATGAAATTCCAGTTTGCTTCTTAACCAGAAGTGTGAATCGTGTGCGAAAGATTAATCATCCCAGGCCACCTTCTCTTTGCACTGTACACACTGAGCAACTACTGTGAAATTTATGTGATATTCCTTTGGTATGGCTTAGTGAGAACCGTCTGCGGCACATTTCACTCATTGGTAAGGGATTGAGTGTTGGCAAAGCTTGAATGAAAATTACTTTTCTCTGGGTTAATGAAAGTCATTAGAGAAATGTTTGTCTGACGCTGTTACTACAATAAAAAGGTGATGGTGTTACTTGATGTGAGAGAGCTGAGGAAATAAATATTTTCTTTTGTATAATGGCCTATAGAGGGAAATAAACATCAACATGAAACGTTATGTATGCCTGCCAATTGGAAAAGAGTGCATTTTGAAATGACAAAGTTTGCAGTACCTGAAAACTTGGGAGGGGGATCCAGCAGCCTTTCTTGTACCCTTCTCATTTTTTAAAAAGCTAGTTTTACATTTAGGACTGCCCAGTATTTGGATTGAGATGAGGAGAAAGTGGAAGGAACAGAGATAGAGAGGCTGTGAGAACACAGCCCAGAAACTGCAGTGTTGACCAGAAGAATCTTGCTTTAAATAACCCAATAACAAGCACAACTCGCTTTGACTGGAAAAGAAGTGAACAAAGACTGTATGAATTCTTGTGAGTGATTTGGTTACACTGGAATAAAAGCCCCCAAATTAAATGTAAAGAGCTCAACCTAGAGAATCTCTCCTGAGGAGACTTACTAGTTTTCTCTGACAGTATTACACCTCATGGTGGAAGCTTCCACTATCAGTTTGTGCAACTTTGGTATTCCAGATCATCATGTCAGCTCGACTCTCCCTGCTCATGTTTGCTGTGTGGCAACTTGGGAAACAAACCCAAGTTTTGTTTGATAGTTTTCATGTGCTTACCTGCAGCTTTGCTAGTGTATGCACACATACACAAGTACACCTCTGAATTTTTCACATGCCACTTTTAATGGCTGCACATTCACCTTCTGTACACATCCCCAGAGAGGCTTTGTTTTTAATATATTTAATTTTACCAGTGATGAATTATATGTGTGTAATGCTAGATTTAACTCCTCAAGGTTGCTTCCCCTGTTAATTCCGAAAGGAGGAAGGAGTTTGGCAGCTTTCTGTTTTGCAGCCTGTAAAAGTACTTACTTAGCTGTACTGCAAATCAGACAGGTAGGAAGTATGCTTTTGTATTTAACTTTGAATGTATGACATGACTTCTACTACTTAAGTCTTTCATACACCTAGAGTTCTGGTTCAGGAAAACATTGTAAGTATGCATTGCACCCTCTCCATATTCAACTGAGTATGTAAGTGCATGCTTAGGTATGCGAGTCAGGATGCTTCCTACAGGGCTCAAAACTAGATGAACTTTGCCAGTGATTTGGCAGTGATGTTGCCCTTCCCTGCTGAACACCAACATGTTTTTGTTTTGATGCTGCATTTGGTTCTTTCTGGTTTTCTGTTTTTGATTATCATATCAGTGGTCAATACCAGCGTGTGGTAGAAACTGGTGGCATTTGCTGTATGAGGTCAGCACATATCAGAGCTCTTTGTCAGGCAAGACAAAGAGAAGCAGGGTAGGAAGCACTCAGTGCAGTTAACAACAGCATGAGAGAGGTGAAAGGAACATGAGATTTCATACCTGTGAATGGTGGGGATGGTGATCTGCTTTTTGTAGTGCAGGAGAGGCCAAGGGCCCTTGGCTTGAGCTCTAAAGCTGTTAATGCAGAACTGGAGGAGCTTTTAACTTCGGTCAGAAACTGAGGGAGCAGAGATCCCACTGGTGAAGCAAAATAAGGAAAATGATTCACTTAAACCTTGCTGTGACCATCATAAGTAATGTATAGAGACAACTGAGAGCATTCAGCATTATCTTATTTAAAAGCTGCCTTTTTTAAACTCCATTATCAGGTTACTTCTGCTTGACTGAACCTCAGTCCAGGCACCCCCATCAGTTAAGAAGAGGTTATTAACATTCACAGCAATTGCTGTAGGATTGTCTCAGGTCTGAACAGCAGCTCCTTAAGTTAATTCTCAGTTTGTTTGTCCCCTCTTTCCAGGTTTGTGAAAGAAAAAAGGCCGACCATTTCTCCCAACTTCAACTTCCTGGGCCAGCTTTTGGACTTTGAGAAGAAGATCAAGAACCAGAGCAGTCAGCCTGGCCATATCAGTAAGAGGAAACTTCTGCACCTGGAAAAGAGCAGCGAGCATGTGCTGGTCCCAGAAGGGGGGCAGAGCAGCCTCTCCACCGCCAGCCAGCTCTGCATTACCGCTACCTCTGAGATCGTGGAACAGAAGCCCATGGACTGCAGCAACCACTTGTCCCCTCTGGAAGAGAGCCCGCTGGTCCAGGGCATAAACGGACTGCACGTCTCCCTGGATAAGGTGGAAGATAACAACCGGCTGAAGCGCTCCTTTTCCTTGGATATCAAATCTGTATCCTACTCAGCAAGTAGCAGCTGTGTGACTGCATCGGTTCAGGGCTTTGCCTCCTCTGAAGACACGCTGGAATACTACAAACACACGACTGCGTTAGAGGGCGGCAGCAAGTTGTGTCAGTTCTCCCCTGTCCAGGAGGTCTCGGAGCAGAGCCCAGAAACCAGCCCTGACAAAGAGGAAGCAAACCCTCCCAAGAAACCCCAGGCCCCCTGGCAGCTGGACAGCCAGAGCAAGCGGCAGCACCTGGGGAGAGCCAGTGGCAGTGGCACCACCCAGCGCTCGCTCCTGTACCCCCTCCACCGGAGCGGCAGCGTGGAAGACAACTACCGAACGAACTTCTTGTTTGGTCTCTCCACCAGCCAGCAGCATTTGGCAAAGTCTGCTGTGGGGCTGGGCCTCAAAGGCTGGCACTCGGACATACTGGCTCCTCAGACTTCGGCTACGTCCCTTACCAACAGCTGGTATTTTGCAGCGGAGTCCTCACATTTCTACTCTGCCTCTGCCATCTATGGGAACAGCGCTGCTTACTCTACCTACAGCTGTAGTCAGCTGCCCACGGGCTGTGACCAAGCCTGTGCTGTGCGCAGGAGGGCAAAGCAGGGTGACCGCGGTGACTCCAGGCGGAGCTGGCACGAGGAAAGCTCTTTTGAGAAGCAGTTTAAGCGCAGAAGCTGCCAGATGGAGTTTGGGGAGGGCATCATGTCAGACAACAGATCCAGAGAAGAACTGGGCAAAGTAGGCAGTCAGTCGAGCTTTTCGGGCAGCATGGAGATCATTGAAGTGTCTTGAGGGCAGCAGGCTCATGTGACTGTGTTGGAGTTGCTTCCCCCTCCAGGCTGCTCCCCCAGCGTTTGAGTGGTCCCTGTAAATCTGAAAAGAACAAACAGTGCAGAAAGCAGGTGGGGAGGGAAGAAACGCAAGTGAATGCTCCAGCGTGAACACAGGGACTAGATGAGTACAGCAAAGAATTGACAAGTTTGCCCAAGGAGACCAAGAGTACCGCTGGGTTTTCCTCCTCCTCCTTCCTGGAGAAGGGCAGAACATTTCAAAGACCTGTCCCTGACAGAGAAAGCAATGATATGCAATGGATTGCACAGCCTTTCAGTGGCCTTTAAAAAGGAAGCTCTCAGTATCAAACCCTTTCTCTGGTTCCACTGAAACATGCTCCTCCCCATCAAAGCTAGTTTTGTTCTCCCCTCCTCACGCCCCATATCCTCAACCAGTGCACCTTAGCCCTGACACTGAGCCAACCTCTGGAGGGAGACCTTTTTCCTGTAAGAAAGGAGGATGGGAGCGATTCCAAAGGACGTAGGGACTGGTTACAGCACGGCTCGTCTGGACACACGGTTCGGACCATTGTAAATACTGGTGTAACTATTGTTCTAATGGATAGGCTTTAGGTGATTTGCTAGAGAGCTGCTTCAGAGATAAACAAACCCAGTACCTCAAACATTCATATAAACTAGGGCTTTATGGCTGCCAGATGCTGGTGGTCAGTTCATAAGCAATGTGAACAAGTACTGACTGGCCACATTTGATTTTCTTTTCTATTTTGTCTCCAAAAGCTGTCTACGCACAAGTGTTTCAGTTGGTTCACCACAATTCCTAAAATCAGTGATTGAACCATCCTTGCCTATGACTGTTTCCCCCAGTCTTTTGAAACATAAAATAAAACAGTATTTGTATTTTTGATATTAAGCTGGCTTCTGGGAGAGGGGCAGCTGCTTTGGCTTTCCAGCTGTAATGGAGTGGTTAATGCGTAGGGTTATGCAGGAGAGAAGTAGCTGGTACAATATCGCAACATCCTTTTCTTGCCCGCTGACAATTCCATAGATGGCACTTAAAGGCTTTTTTCCTGTTTTTTTGGGTTTTTTTTGAAAGCTGAAATTGCATTGAGGTGGGCTTTTGTCCTTAGTCAAGCAGTACCATTGAGAAACTGCTCTTCATACATGGTCCCAGTTACGCATGGGTTGGGGGCAACGCAGGTGGTTGGTTTTTCCCATCCTAACGTGGATGAGGACTTGGAGATAGAAGCTTCTCTTCAGTTGTGCTGACTTCATCTGAGAAACCTGGCTGCCTGTCCAAGGGAAACAGAAGGGGACTTCCAGCATCCCATCTGTCAGTGTGGGGTGAAGGAGAGGGGGTTTGGGAAGAGACAGCTTCAGACTGCTTACCTCCCACACTAGCAGCTGCAAGGAATTCAGTCCTGGCTCTTGTCCTCCATCCCAGTGCAGGGTCTTGGTTTCCCACTGCACTGATGCTGGCTGGTATCATGCCCTCACCTCCCAAGGAAATACATGGTTCATGCAAGATGAGGCACAGCCCTTCTTGTGTTGCTTCTGACAGCAAACCAGCTGCCTCCCTCCTGCTCACCCCTCATGCAGTGCCATGGCTCAAGCTGATGTACAGTCAGCAATGGGTGATACCAGAAGCACAGCATAACGCTTCATCCTTCCTGCTCTGATGGGAGCTGCATGAGTTATCTCACCCCTCAGAACATGTGATTCAGGGGGAATGATATTGTTTTGTCCCATTTCAGTGCAGGCAGCTGAAAATTGTAATTCACATGTAATAAATACTTACCCCTGGCCAACAGCTTTAGAAAGAAATTCTCAGCAGCAAACTGAAGCCCTAATTCAAGTCAGCAGCTTGGGTTATGTTTGGTTTTTTTACTGTAAGTTTAGCTAGTTTGTGACTCAAATCTCAGGTTTTACTCTATTGAAAAGTGCAGAAGATTTTGTCATTGTTTTGTTTTGTGGCTAGGATGTGACTTTAATTTCCTACAGCGGACTGTTGAAAATAGCACTGAAAGCTACAGCCTTAATTAACTCGATCCTAAAAAGTGCAAAAGGCACAGAGAGGCAGCACCAGGAGTAACTGAACCCAGTGGCTGTGTTCATGCCGGGTGTACAAGATGCTGGAAGAAGAGGTAGTCCAGACAAGGTGTAGGCTGACACCACACTGGAAAGCATGTCAGGTTGTGGTTATTCATTAAACGTACTGACACTTGTCTTTGTTTATGTATCAAGTGAAAGCAATTACATTACAACCATTTGCAGCATATACACACACTCCAGTGTGTGTATACATACATATGTAAACAGTTTAGCAGTGCTCCTCTCAGCCAGATTTCAGTGAAAGCCTGTGTCTGATTTAACTGATTTAAATCAGTTAATGGGGGGTTAACACAAATCAATCCCTAGAGGCAGAACCTTCCTGTCCTTTGTGCTCCTTTTGCACATGTGTGTTCTGCCCCCTTCTCTCTGTACAGATACATATGGTTGGTTTTTTTTGGTTAATCACCTCCTGAGGAACCAAAATCTGGTTGTGTGGCTCCTCGTGATTTCCAATAGGCTACAGTCATCGAATGAATCAAAGCTGTAGGCTCAGTATTGCTAGGGGAGGGGGTCCTGTAGGAGGAAGCCTTAACCCCATGTCCTGCCCAGGGTAGTGCCCTGTCTCCTGTCTGAACTCGTGTCCTGTACCTGAACAATGCTGGAAATGGTTTGTAGAAGTTTGGAAGGCGAAGTGGAGGATGCAAGGGGGAAATGTGTACATGTTCAGTATGAATATAATGTTCTTCGGTGTATGGCAGGCTGTTTAAATGGTTCAGAGCAATGTGAGTTTCTCATCTTGTTGTGTCATGAGCATTACCTGTATGTTATGATGAAATAAAATCAGAAATGGTACCCGTTTATACAGAATGGCTGAGGAAGGAGCCTGTGTGCCTCTGGCTGTGGAGCGTGCGTTACCTGCCTGCAGTACAACCTGCTCCCTGGCACCCAGGTCGCGCAGGGGGCTTTGACCTTATTGTACGTACTCTCTGTGGCTATGAGCCTGTTAATGAATGACACAGGTTGGGTGGCTTTGGACCACTTGTCGCAAGCAGTAGTGATTACAAGAACAGTGCAGGCCTCTTACCTGTTCCTGCTTACTCCACCTCTTCTGCTCACTCAAACAATAGCACTTCTCTGCATTAACACCCTACAGTGCCTCATCCTGCTGTGAGTGAACTGTTCCCAGTGCAGCTGGGCTAGTCTTTCTGAAGTATTTAAAATTGATTAAGTTACCTAGAGTGAATCCCATGGTTTTTTCTTGCCTTACTTGAAGAAAAATTAATTCCTTGTTTAAAGACTTGTTTTGACTGATTCTGCCAGTCCTGAAGCATTCAGAGCGACTTCTGGTTGCTGGGGGAGGAGTATGCCCCTTATTGCATGTGCAATACTAGACCTTAAGTGGCAGCCTGTTAGTCTACAAAACAGGCTGACTTGACAGTCTTCTAAGATTTACCTCCTCAAGCTTCCATCACGCTATTCCAAAGTCAGCTTTGATCCCAAGTAGGTCAGACTAGCTGTGTTTGTTCCCTCAAGTTCTGTCTTCTAAGGCATGCACTTCAGCTTTCATCACTCCTTCTTTTGCCTGCTTTGCATGACTTGCTCTGCTCTTGTTCCCTCCATCCCTCTGCCCTAGCCTCTGCCAGCAGACAGCTCTCTGAAGAGACAGTCTAACTCCATCTCCAGTCAAAACCTGAGAGGCAACTGGAATGTGTCTCATAGATGTCATCAGTATCTCATTTTCATTTCACTGACTGGCATTACTGGGAAGAGGCCTCTGAGGTCACTGGGCTCTTGATGTAACCATCCACAGTTACATTCCTGGAGGGAAATGGACTGAAAACAGGTCAAGCCTCCCCCAGCATGGATCACGGCAGCCCTACTTTTGAGGGGCTAAGAGATGCAAGAGTAGGACTGCGGTAATTCCATGAACTGCTGTTTGTGCTAAATGTGTTCATTAGCCAGCTGCTTTTTATGCTTTGGCTGACAGCAGAAGGTATAAATTGATTTCTACCAGAACATGGTGGTGGCAAAGGCCAGAGCCATGGCTGGCGCTTCTCCTGGGGAAGGCAGTGGGCTCCTAATAAGGCTGTTACTGCCACTTTTCAAATCTGAAATTACTGAGATCCAGCCAAACTCACCTACATTGTAACCCTGCCTGAACCCCTAGCTACCCTGCACTTGTTAAAAGTTTCTGAGATAAAAGTAGAGCTTTTCTAGCACGTTCAGACATTACAGCATTATAGTACAGTATCACTACTATAGTATACACAGAAGAGCACAGCTGGAAATTCAGGTAGAATAACAGCGTTCATAATGCATCATCAGAGCTGTTCTCCCTTCTGTGCCACCTTGCTGGGCATCAGGCTGTCCCGTGCAGGCTCACATTATGAAGAAGTTAGAACCTCACAGTAGCTGTTGAAAGCAAACCAAAAGCCCCCTGAGAAGTACCACAGACCAGCTGAAAAGAGGCTGAAAGTGCAAACTGACCCATTCAGTGATGGGTGAACAATCAGTAGGAGATGAGGAGCTGGCAGGGCAGAGGCCTGCTCAAGGACACCCAGCTCCATGTCCTTCTGCAAAAAATGCTGATGGCAAGCATCTGTGAGGACATGGTCTCTTTCTGACAGGAATATAAGGGGGAGGGGTAAGAAATGAGGAATACTTTGCTTTGAGGAATACATTTAGCCTTCCTACTGAATGTTAGGAAAGCTGCTGGGTGCAGGCAAGGTCCAAGTGCCCTAACAACATAGGCAGGGAGTACCTCACACCACAAGTGCTTTGCACAGGAAAGCTGCAATCTTACCAAGTGTCTGAATCCATCAGTCCCAGATCCTCTTCTTTACTTCCACGAGGCTACCAGAACAGAAAAGGTAGGCAGGCAGCTGAACTACTGTCCCACTGCTGGTGAGGTACAAGCAACGCTGCACACATCATTTATTTAAACTGGACATCAGTGCCAAGCAGAATTCCAACAGCACCAAAATAAATCCCAACATTTACTTTCATTCTGGGACACAGGTTTCCTTACAGCCCAGGGCAGCCGGAACCAGACTTGTGTGCAAAGCACTGAAGCTGTGACCTACCACGCTGAACAGTGTGTAGTGCCCATAGACATCACAGCAAGAAGTGGGCTGTAAATGAACAACTGAGGCAATTGGAGAAACAGCACAAAAAAAGAGCAATCCCAAACGTTTTAATGCTGGAGCTGGAGAGCATGCAGCACGTAGGAAGCTGGAAGCAGAGCAAGTCTGCACACAGGATAGCCACCCATCAACCAAGGACTGCTCAGCCAGAAGGCTGGAGATCGAAATATATCCTGGCAGCTTGGGAATGGGAGACATATCACCATAGTACCTCAGGAAACCAGTGGCACACAGTCTGAGAGAGGAGTGGCTCATGCAGTGACTGGGCCTGTGAAAATACGTCTTTCTACTCTTTCTGTGTAAAAGCTTAGAGGAGGTGAAAATACACTTTAACTATTTAAATATATTTAAATATATTTAATTTTAAATACATATATTAAAAAAAAACCCACAACATTATTTTCTGTCCCCTTCAGCAGATCTTCACAGAAATTGCCCTGCAGGTGGTTGGCACGTTAGCACCCTGTCAATGCATTAAATTACAAAAACAATGGAACAAAAACAACAAACCTGCGCCTGTAGCACACTGACCAGTGTAGGACACAAGCAGCACCAGTGGCAGCACAAAGCAGGGGTCACAACAGCAGAGTCAGGGGAGGAATCAAAGCAGATCAGGCCAGCAGGGAACAACAGACCCAGAGACTCGCCCTGTTCTCCAGCTTCTCAGAAGGTTGCATACCAAGAAGCTTAGCCCGTACCTGTACCACACACCACCTCCAAAAGTAGAACCGGGCAGAGAATGTTTGTTTTCAGTGGAGCACACCAGATTATTCTGTTTATAGCACTAACTTCATGGGAGAAATAACAGCTAGTACATTGAGAGAGATAACCTGAGGCCTTCTCCAAGAGCATTTGGCTTAGAAAAGGAAATTCATAAGCAGAAAGGTAATTCCAGTCACAGCTCAAATCTGCTAAACAGCAAAAAAGGTAGCAAAGCAACAACTTCACCTTGAGCATTGCCTGCCTCTGAGATGAATCTGAAAGCAGCGTGCAGAGCAAAACAAACAAGGAGCAGCCAAGCAACAAACAGCAGCTCAAAAGGACATGGCAGGAAATGTCTTCCCCTCAGTGAGAGGGCCAAAGACTTACAGTTAATGAAGCCACAGACAGTGTTTTAAATAAAACTGTAAACCATGTTTTGAGAACAATTAGAGGGTGCACGCTCTCTTACAGTACCCAATACAAGAGACTATCACCTGTGGAATGAAGGTGATGACCTCTGTGCTTTGGAAGAGATTGGCCTTCACATTTCAGCTCTAGTTAATTTCTTTCTAGTTAATCTATCATGTTGTTCACAACCTACCCTTGCTGTGCAGAAAGCTTTAGCTGGGCGGCCAAGTAGCATAGCCACAAGCTTGCAGGCCAGTGTTCATAGGCAGAAGTGCTTTCTCCCATTATCAGCCCACTGCCTGGGTGTTCTATAGCAAATGAGGAAGGAGCTGACTTGCTGCCTTCATGCCTGCAGTCTTCAGACAGGAATACAATTCACTTGCCCTCATTAGCACCACAATGCTTTGATCTGATACTTAATAGCATGAGGCCAAATGTGTAGAAGCTTTACAGGAGAGAGCATTGCAGCCTAACCCCTGCCTCGAGATCCAATATCGGGATCTTCCCACCAGTATAGGCTTCTAGCACACCAGGGTGTGGGATATCCATGATCCCGTCTGGCAGACGGGTGAATGTCGTGCATTCTAAACTTCCAGACGGCATCATCTGGATGAGGAGGACAAAACCGCCTGCAGCTGCTATTTAAAGCTGCTGAATATTCTGGTGTGTCTGATGGCGGGAGGCAGAGGCTGCTCCGTGATGGACAATGAGGACCTGTATGGGCATGGCCACGACGAGCAGGTTTTCTTGGGTTGTTAAGTCTCACATGAGCCTTTAACAAATCGAGTGTGAAATACTGCAGGACGCCTGAGCAAGGATCCCATGTTCTATCCTGTACAACATACAGCCTATGTCTATGTATACACACCTGTGTAACAACTCCAGGGTGGAGGCAGCAGACAAGAAGGCCCACTCTGCTGCCTTTACTAGAAAATCTCCAGCCAAGTTCCTTACTCTCTCTGACACAGTCAGTCACTCTTCCCAGGGCATCATTCCAGAGGGATTCATTTCTACAAGACTCTGCTTTCAGACAGTGCGCAGCATGTCCTGAGGTTCAATTACTGCTATGGTTCAGATATGTACCTCAGTTGCCTGCAATCTGTATCCCAGAAAACCACTCCAGGCTACATGGACTTTGGGAATGCAACTAAAGAACAGCCTGTTGCTTCCTGCCACCAGGTAATAATTAATACCATCAAAAACTTACTATGCTCTTACTCCAAACTGCCTAGAGACAATCTTTTGCTGCTAAGTACTCTTAAGTACTAAGAGGTACTGAAGCAAGTCGCCTTTGGCAATCACCTAGTCTTGTGTTGTACTAGAAGATGGACTGTCACTGACTCCCAAATAGGGCTGCCCTCACCATTGGAACTGTGCTCCTGACATACACCCAAACCATACATGGGGTTCTTGGGCATGCTTTTGCCTCTCACCAGCCACAGCATTCCAGGACTAACACTAACACACACAAACCTATCCCTGACCCAGCAAACCAAGTGGTCCACCCTTCTGGTTACATGCTCTTTCTGCTGCAGACAAGAGCTGCCACGCAATGGTGAAACAGGCTGATAAACCCCAGTTCTAGAGCTGCAAGTATTTTTACAGCAAGTATTTTTACCCTCCAAAGCTCAGAGAGGTGCTGCAAATCACCTGCAGCCAGTACACCAGTGGCAAGCTTGGCAACCATCCTGTCTCCTACAGGCCAGCCCAGCACCCAGGGGGCATGGACACGCTGCCTGCCTTCCTTCAGTGCCCTCATCCTTGGAGAAGGGAAGAACACCCTGTTGCCTTTGCAGCAATTTGCTGCGCACAGTCCCAAGGAGCAAGGTGGTTTCAGTCATTAAACACCATGCCTGGGCAAGCTCTCAGTGTAACAGCAGCTAAGCCAAAGCAAGGGCCAAAAGGCCTTGTTTTGTGTCTCCTCCTTCCAACTCCATACACTTGAAGGTAAACAACTGCATCCCTCTGGTAGAAAAGACAGCACCAAGACAACTCTCGTGTCCCAATAAAGAGAGACACCTCGTGTCTAACTTTGGATGCAAAATGTGCTCATCTGGTGAGTGCCAGTGCCTGTCAGAACCACTGTGCAAGGTGAAGAACACAAAATGCCAGCAGCTGGGGCACAGGGACATTACTAGGGCAAGGGGGAGAGGAAAACTAAGGCTTGCTTAACATTAACAGACATACATATCTGTAACAGTTGTTCCTTTACAGCCTCATAAATTAATGAGCCCAAAAAACAGGAGCCTTGAGGAGGACATGCTAAACCCCTGCTGTGCAAGCCATGTTAATTATGATAATAGGCATATTTTAATAAGCCAGTCCCTAGCTCCTGTACTTTCACCTATAACACACACACACACACACATTTCCTAGGCCAGGGGATACCAAAAATACCTGCCAGCCATCTAATGGTCTAAACCCCAGTGGACAAAACCCATGTCAGAGTGTTTGTCACACCCCGTGTCCCTTTGAATTTTTCTAGTAAAACAAAAAATCAGGTGAAAGAAAACTCCTCATCTGTAAACCCCTATCTCATCACAGCAGTGGAACCGGGTGGCAGCAGTGGAGGAGACAGGAGGGCGAGAGGAGAGAGATGAAGGGATGGTAAATCATCTCCTCCAGACGACAGGGCCGGGGGGGCTCCTGCATTCCTGGCTGCGCAGTTCTGGCAGCTGGCGCTGCTCTTCCTCCAATGCCCTGGCAGAGAGTCCGGCAGCAGTGCCGTGTGCCCCAAACATCTGCCATCCAGCCCGCTGAAGTGTGTCTGTGCTGAACACTGGAGCCTGGAAGGTGAGGAGGACAATGGGAGCCTGACGGATCAGCTAAGACTTCAGCTCCCGCTCCAGTTTCATGCTGAAGGGCTCCAGCCTCTCACTCTCCGGTAGCATGCTGTTCAGCCGCTCCATCAGCGGGATCGTCTGGTCGATGCCCATCTGTATACGGCGGAGGATGGCAGACATTTCATTGACCTTCTGGATCTGCTCTGCATACTTGGCATACTTCTTCTGGCGCTCCTGCATGAGGCCATAAAGGGTTTCCACGGAGCAGTCCATCTGTTTAAAAACAATAAGTAGAGCGAGGCGCATTAGGCCAACTGTTAGCACAGGCCCTTCTGAAAAGCATCTTCCCTAAGAGCATCTGAGAAGCACCTTAAATACCCTACTGGAGATACCAGCCAGGTAGAAAGGAGTTCCTGTGTAGCTACATAACGAGTTTGTCATGAAATGGGATAATTCACAGCTGTATACTAGGGAAGATAAATGACCACCTGAGTTCTACATCCAAACACTGAGAAAATTCTGTATTCACAGGGCTGAAAGCCAACAGGCACTGGCAGGGATATCCCAAATAAACCATCTGCATGTTCTCCAAGTTATCCAAACCCAGGGAGCTCATAGCCTCTGCCTACACCCGTAGTATATTTTCAGTGGAGACTGTTCATTTGCAAGTGTTAAGCTCTACCATACTTGCCAGACCTAATTTCTTCAGCTTAGCAAGGTTGCTCTGCAACTGAGCCACAGCTGTTATTACCATTATCACCTGGAAAACTCCTGCCTTGAGAGAGAACCACAATGGATTACTAGCATCCCTAATTTCCCCGAATCCTAAAAATAGAAGTGTTATGAGCGGCCCCAGGAGAGACATAAAGTGAATCAGCCATGCAATTAAACACAGTAAGTACCCAAACATGGCTGGAGCATGGTGACAATGACAGGAACTGCAGTGCTATTCCTGCCACTGAGTGACGAAGGCAGCCTTTATAATTCACAGCCCAACTTTCTCTTCAGACAGATCTGCAAACTTCAGGCAGGATAGCACTGTATGCACACGAGCCAGGTCAGACTGTTTCAGCTGTTTTACACTCTGTAAGACATGCTATGTCTTACAGAGTGCTTGGTAACAGGACCGCTCCAAGCCCTCAAGTGCACACCCGAAGCTTGGGTGCTCTGGATCACTGTAGTGATCCACTCAATGAGTGCAGTTACTTCAGTATGCTGGCTGTTCAAATTGAACAATGAGCACGCATCCTGCAAACATACTCTGTCCCCATGGAAAGCAGTACCCTCACCTGGGACTTGGTGCTTGCCCATAGTGGCTGCCGAGATAACGGCAGGAGTGGACACACACTGAGCAGTTGCCTCCCTCTTACCACTGTTTTTCTGAACCTCTGCCATCCAATTACCTCCAGAGGAAGGAGGTCATGGCTTGTGATGAAGCAGCCTCAGGGAATCTGTGCTGAGAACTCCTGGTCTACCAGGAAGCCCAGGCCAAATAACATCCCTCACTGGCAGTCAAACCATTTGGTGGAGGACAGCAACTGTACCTGTCATCAGGGACAACACCACTTTATCAGTGCAGTGCTAAAAACCAAGCCGTGCTGACCAGATCTGACTTACTTTGTACTTAATCAGCAAGCGTAATCCTGACCCAGTGTGCAGTGGTGACAAGCTGCAGAGGAGAGCCTGCAGCAAGGGAAGGATTGGGTGGAAAAGATGCAAAGCTGGAAGGGGCATCCTCCACTGAGCAGGGAAGCCCCACCAAACCGAGCACTGCCATCCCACTGGCAGCAGCAGGGTATAGCACTGGGGCAAAAGCTGAGGGAGTTGTGTTTGCTCCCTTTCAAGCCCTGGGGAAGAGTTCAAGTAAAAAATAGTCAGGCAAGAAAGTATTTTATTGAGAAACCTAAGTTACAAACAGCATTGAAAAAAAACACACAAGTTTCCGCTCAACTGTCATGGGGATTTAGAAGGCATTTTTTTCCACCTATCACCTCCATCAGAGCTGGATACAGCACCAGTCAACCTCTTATTTCGTCTGTACTTTCTAGTGCTCTCAGGCAGATTTCTTCCTCTTTGCCTCTGTGCTTTCCTGTGAATTCCTCCCTCCACGCTTTCATGCACGGGACAAAATAAAAACCAGCAGAGCAGGAAACTCCAAATAGAGTAGAAACAATTTAAGCCTACACAGGGGTTTCTATTAAAACCCCAGCTTAATAATTTAGTAGCTTGGTGCTAGCTCTGTAAATTGGAGTGTGTAAAAGCAGACCACCACCAGGTCTGTATGGGATGGAAGTAAATTCAACCCAGTGCCTAAAAACATCCCACCTAATGAGAGACAGTGGTGTGGAGTGGCAGCCAGTAGGAAACCTGCCAAAAGCCAGCATGCCTCATTAAACTGAGCAGCATGGCACCCAAGCAGAAACCTCCTCTGGTGCTGAAGTTCTCCTCCACAGGCAGGTTCTCCACGTGGCCTCAGCACAATAGGCAAAGCTCACACCCAGCAAGCTCTGCAACAAAAAGATACAAAGGCCCCCTTTTCTCTCTATTCCAATAAATTCCATCTGTTGACTCTTTGGCTCCATATGTAAATACCAGTAACATCCACTTACTGAAGTGGAAGCTGAAGCTGACCTGCAAAAGGAGGAAGAAAGGCAGAGTGGCCTTCCAAGTTCTCAGCTACTTCTGGACACATTCACAATGGTTGTAAAAAAAGCTGCCTCACAAAAAAGAGAAAGGGTGGAAGTGAGTGCTTCCTATGGTTTCCCTACACCTAGTGTTCAAGTTTGCCAGCTGTGGGAGGCCACAGCAGCTGCACAGCCAGAGCCATGACAGAGGACTGAAATTGAGTAACTGTGAGGAAAAGTCAACTTTTACTCAGTCTGAACCTGGTGTTTTTAACTATCAAATTAAAAAAACCCTCTGCATGTTAACGCCTGTATAGAAATGCCAATGCCTCTTTGCAGCTTTCCTTGGAGCTGGCCTAAATACACACTTACATCCTTCCTGCCCCCTCCCCTCCAAGCGATCTCCAGTGCCAGACCTTGTGCTTTTACCTCTCCTGGCAT